CACACCTTTAAAACAAAAAAAGAGTGTTCCCATGTGTGTGACCCAGCCAACTGCTGCCTACTGCCCCAGCTGCACTCACCACCTGCCAGAGGCATGACAGGCGCACAGTTGGATTTGACAGGATATGCGCTAACCTTACCCAAACCCCCATTAAAATACGGACACAGATTATACTGTTGGAAATAATTTGTCCACAGCTTTATTAAATTATTAATAAAAGAATTAAGGAATAACAAATGGGGTCATTGCCAACAAATCCCCCATATACATAACATACCTAGCAATGACACCACAATAATAACAATAGATAACAATCTAAATAACATGTTAATACATAAACTGGCCACCCAATATGACCACATTTCCACCAGGTTAAATTGTAGGGGTATACAGAGACACCGCTACCCACCATATCGATTGTAGGGGTGTATCCAAAACCCAGCTATCCACCATATCCATTGTAGGGGTGTACCAAGACACCGCTACCCACCAGTTCCAGTGTAGGGTGTACCAAGACACCACCACACCCCCAGGTTCGGAGCCACCGACGGGGTCGAACCTACCAACCACGTGCAGCACTGCCCAATCCACACTAAACCTCAGGATGCCCACTTTCTCCTCCATCTACCCTCCGATTTAACCAGGCCATTCCCCACCACAGCTCAGGACTTGACACCTAAAACTCCTGAGCGACCCCCACCACACCGGAATAAAGCCTGTTGAATGCCTTCATGAAGGCCCAATTTAAACAGATCACAGCTTACATCAGAAAACGTACCCCATCCCGCCCGGAGTACCCAGGGAGCTTGCCTCCCAATTCGTTGTGTCTCACTGTTACACCGCCCCCGCCATCGATGTACCTCCTGAACCGAGGACCTGGGTGGATGGTAAACCACATGAACCCCACCGTATTGTCCGTGAATAACGACTTTTCGTCCCTTAATCCTTCACCTTTTAGAGCCACGGCCACTCCCCATGGAAATAACTCAAAAGATGCCAACTTTGAATGAGAGGACTTACCTTTCATGCCTCCCGCCACTGATCCACGCACCATCTGCCTTCCAGGTATGCCCCGGAATCTATGTTCCCAGAGGCATCCGTGAACAACTCGACCCATCCCTCGCGACATGCAAACTTGAAACTGCCTTATGAACAACTGCGATTTCTCAGCGTGACCTTCTAGGACCTGCGAACCTTCACCCTGAACTCCCAAAGTGCAGTCAACTGATCCCAAGGCAATCAACACTCTCCTACCAACAATTTCCAGCCCAAGCAAAGACGTGCGGTAGGATTCCCGCGACCGTAAGGTATGTCCACAACGGCCCGGCCCAGCCAAGCCCACACAGCAAGCTATCTTACAGATAATGTACTAAGGAACCCCTTCCTGATTCCTCTTTCACCACCCACTCCCAGACGGAACCAACTTCCCGAAGTAGGAACATGAAATGGAACTGCCCCTTGGCAAGCAGAGGTTACCAATAGGCACCTGCAAACATGCAACCGAAAAGATGGAAGGGTCGCCAATAATCGAACGCGTCCTGCTCCCCCGAACCAACCCGACGGCAAGGCCGAATGATGCCTAAGATACAGAATAGGTCCACGTCGATGTCCTCATTTACAGATGCCCCTATCGTGTGCGATAAGAATTTGCCCGCCCCTTTTTAGGGGACCATCCCCCATGGAGACACCCACAGATCCGCTAATGGCGGGGATGTAATGGACCCGTCATCCCCCCAATTGGGCTTCCTCGCATGACCACTCGCGAACCAATCCCAGATGTTCACCCACGGACTTGATATTCGCCCACCACTTTTCCTGGTCCCTCGACTTTGAATAGAATAGCGAAAACCCCCCCAACAATTCCAGCAATAAAACTAGCGCCTTCATGGGAGGCTTACTGCCTTATCCACGGCAGCAACGCACTGATCGTCACCGGTGCCGCTCCGAGCTGCAAACGCGGGGTTGAAGCCCGGCGAGTACCCTTCCTGCCTTAGGTTTTCCTTTCTTGACGCGTCAGTTGACACTGTGACTCTCACCGCCTCCGGAACACAAGTATCCAAACCTACCCAATGGTCCCCACTTGCATTGACCTTTTTTCTGTCCGGCCAGCACCGCACCTCCTGGGGCCGTGCCAGCAGCCCCTGGAAAGAGCGCCTTTCCTGCATCATCATTAGGAACCGGGCACCTTACCCCGATTACGCCTACTAGGATACAAAAGCCTTAAATCAATTCCCAAAGTCTTCAGTATCTTGCGATACCTCTTTTCTAGCCTCCTTCCTATCGTCCCCTTTTAAATCAAGAAACTCCTCGAGGGAAAGACAGGAACATGTTTTTACAAATCCCCTTAATCAAATCTTATCCTCCCCCTCTGCCTTCAAGTGACCCCCCAATGGCCCAGCGAAGAACACGTGCCCATTTTGTCACGCCGAGCCTGGAATATTGCCACCCATCTAACTGTCCTCCTGCCCCGTCGGATGTCCCCGGTACCGGCACCACATCCCCTTCCCTTACCTGGCACGCCGTCACCACCGCCCTAACTTCTGCCTCCCGACCGCCCTCCGGTGACCCCACCCTTCCACACCACGGGGACGGCCCCTTTTTTCCTTGATCATAACTCTAAAATTATTTTTGCAATTTAAAAAGTGTGGTGTGTTTATTGACTCACCGCCCGAACCCCTGTCTGCGCTGTCATCTCGTCCAACAGACGGCGCCAGCCGCCCTCCAACTCCCACCTGCTCTCCGACCTCGTTTTCAGCCGTCCCCTTGCTGCCTCCTGCCAGGCTCTTGCGCCGCCGGACTGCGAATGTCACTCCCGGGCTGCCGCTGGGGTGGCCTCGCTCTCCTTGCCAGCCTCCGTTCCGTCGCCGCATGGGGGGGAGGAGACATGCAGCTTTCACAACTGACAGGTAAGCTTAGGTTCAGTCAAAATGGCCACTTCATATAATGGCCGGTATAAATACTCCCCTTATGGCTCTGCCCTACCCAGCATGCTAGCTGTCATTAACTTCCTGTGGCTGCTATGCCTACCTCCTGGCTCTGTCAAGGCCTATTCCTCTTAGCTGCACTCATCCATGGGCTACAGGGCCGCCACTGACTTGGCCTCCGTGCTTTACCGCCCATTCGCTTTCTGTTGCACTCAGTGATTGGCTGGCCTGCAGGCTTCTGGATGTAAGGCTTTGTTTTATTGGCCGGATCGGTGTGCAGGGTGATCCCTGGGTCTGGGTTGGCTGGCTGGAATAGGGCAGGGGTATTCCAGCTCTCTGGGATTGTCCTTGTGCAGATGATCTGCATTATTTCAGCTAATTGCACTGCCCCCACAGCAGACCTACACAACCTGTCAGTAGGTAGGGGGCTGCAGTTTTAAACGCCTTGCTTTCCAAGTAAAGGTATAAAGTTACATATAAAAATACAGATACACACACTGATAGACATACAAATAGACACACACTGATACACATACAGATATACACACAATGGCACAAACTAGGGTAAAGGGTGTTTGAGAGGGGTTCATGTCAGAGTTAGTTTACATAGGGTGTTTAGTATTAAAGGCTTGAGTGCAGTCATAGTTGGTAGTATAAGGGTTTTTGGAATTATTCAGCTTAGGGTAACCCTTAAGTGAAGTTTAGTATTTGGGTACATGGGGTGTTTACTGTTTAAGAAAAGTTAAACCTAGGATTACGGTGAAGATTTATTTTTTCAGGTTTATGCTTTTAATGCTTAACCCCTCAGTGACCACACCGTTTTTCAATTTTCTTACCGTTAAGGACCAGGGCTGTTTTTACATTTCTGCTGTGTTTGTGTTTGGCTGTAATTTTCCTCATACTAATTTACTGTACCCACATATATTGTATAGTGTTTGTCTCGCCATTAAATGGTCTTTCTAAATACCATTATTTTTATCGTATCATATAATTTACTATAACATTTTTTTATAAAATATGATGACATTTTTTTAAAAACACACTTCTAACTTTGACCCCCAAAATCTGTTACACATCTACAACCGCCAAAAAACACCTATGTTAAATAGTTTCTAAATTTTGTCCTGAGTTTAAAAATACCCAATGTTAACATGTTCTTAGCTTTTTTTGCAAGTTATAGGGCTATAAGTACAAGTAGGACATTGCTGTTTCAAACTATAGATTTTTAAAATGTAACAATAGTGACATTGTAACATCGTTATTTGTCATAAATCTCTGAATCACACCTCACATGTATGTACATCTTTTTTTAAAGTAGACAACCCTAAAAGTTTGTATCTCCTGATCTGTAAATTTTACTTTAATTACACACAGGAGGCTCCTGCAGGGTTTAGAAAGCTATTAACAGAGCAGAAGATAAGAAATTCTAAATTAAACCGAATTTGCAATAAATGTAATGCAAACATTAGATGACTCTTTACAGGAAGTGTTTAGGAAGGCTGTGTAAGCCAAACACAGTGAGCTGTGACTAGAGCTGTAAAAACAAAGTGATTTAACTCCTAAATGGCAGATACTTGAACAGTGAGACTGCAAGGGCGTGATATATACACTAACACTGCTTAATTAAGCTAAAGTTGTTTTGGTGAATATAGCGTGCCTTTAATTCATGTGATTTCTGAGTGTAGTATGCAAATATACACAAAAATATATATTAATATGCATTTATTTACTCGCAATGCATTCAGAAATCACATAAATATATATTAAGCTGACCTTTCAGTTCCATGATCAGACTTTTCTAAAGATACCAAACTAACAATGCTGAAACTTTGACTGAGTGCTGTTGCACAAGCCTGCTTAAATTAAAACCAGTTATTTTGTTTTAAAGTTTTGTTAGTGCACTCCATATTGTAGAAATCATTTAAAATTTTACGTTTTGCTAATGCAATACATTATATGGTTGGTTTAACATTTTTTCCAGGGCTGCTCTATATTCCCAGTCCAGGCCTGGTACAATATGAATATATGGCTGGTAGTCAGTCAGGGTAACTAATAAACTAAGCAGTGGGGGCGTGGCCTAACCACTGAAGCGGACGGTCGCAGGATTGCTGAGCTCCAGGCCTGAAACTGACAAAACCCACTAAAAACACCCACAATCGGGTCAAACCCAACCCAGACGGACCCAAACGTTTAGGCGAACGCGATGGGGCGAAAGACAAAGAAGTTAAAGCCTGAAAAACTCCACCCGGGCACACATATTGGCGAGTTGTGGCGGAAGGCCCAAGAAGCCTCTATCCCTAACATGGCGTCCCTCCATGGCGGATGCTCAGACTTCTACAGTGAATCTTCGGATGACGCAGAAGGGGAGCCCCTACAAGCCAACCCCAAACTCCCACTGAATCGAACACAGCCCCCACCACCCGCCGCAACCCCTACCCCGGTGAGCATGGAGGCCATCAGAGAATTAATGGCAGACCACCATAAAAAAATATCAGCAGATGTGGCCTCAATTCGGGACACGCTGCAGGGCCTCAATGGACGACTTGGAGCTGTGGAACACACCACGCAAGCCCAAGACACACATATCAAGGAGCTACAGCAAGAGATACTGGCGCTGAGGAACCTGTCTAAACAAAATGACTTACGATTTGCTGAGCTGGAAGATAAACGTCGGCTGAAGCATCTCAAGATCAGAGGAATAACAGATACTGTGACGGACTCTGAACTGCCCCATTTCGTGCGGCGGCTCCTCACGGTAATGCTAAACCCAAAATAAGCCAAAGCAGTGATACTGGATGAAATATTCCGTATCCCAAAACCCACTAAAGCTCCAGACGCAGCCACCCGTGATGTGATCCTGCAGTTTCAAGCCCAAAGAGACAGATCCGCAGTCCTGGCCGTGGCCAGGCTCCAACAGACCTACCCCTTCGAAGGTATGAACCTAATGTTTTATGCGGACCTCTCGGGAGCCACTTTAGCCTGGAGCAGATCCCTGCAACAATTGACATCACTTCTGCGTGAGAAACATGTCACATACCGCTGGGGCCCAGCTCACACCCTGACGGTAACAAAAGGCGAAGATACGCATAAAATTCACTGCATACAAGAGGCACCGATGATCCTGGGGCTGCTCGGCCTCCCCCCGAATGCATTGACCCAGCCAGCACCTAAGGACAGACCTCGGAACCCCCCAAGTTGGGAAACGGCTAGCGCTGCTGAATTTGTCCCCAGACGACAGAAAGAATCACCCACCGGCACTGCCACAACCTGAAAGTCAATTCTGGACTGTGTGAGTTACCGGGACATTGCCCCACCATCAGGCATATTATGTATAGGGACGGCCATGCACAACCCCAACCCACACTGCTGAACAACCTTATCGTTTCCACCCCACCATTATGTTTAGCACTATGACTTAAACTGTTTTCCCTTTCCTTGTTATTTTCTCTCGAACACCATAGTGTGCTTGTAGTTCACACCAACCAGTTAAATCTGACGCCAGGCATGTTCACTCACCTCTTAGTACACTCGATATTACCTTGCCAAATTATAACAATATACATTGTTTATTCCTGATACGACACGGTTTGTGCCCATAGACCTGTGGTCGCGAATGAGGCACTATGGAACTATATGTACTATGCATAGCATAACAAAAACTAAGTCTTAAAGGAGGGAAAAGATAAGACATAAAAGGAGGAGAGGAGGAGGGGAAAAATCTAGGTGTTAAGGTGTATTAGACTGCTCACACCCGAGTTCTGTTGTCTTCCTAGTTTATCTTATTTTATTACTCTATTTCATCACCTAGTACTTCGACTATCAAACGTAGTCTCTGGTACAAACTCGCATATTAGACACTATTTATGTTAAGCTTGATCTCCCCGCTGACATAACCATAAGAAATGAACGCTGAGTATCCACCTCAACATCCTTACGGGTGATTATTCTGTGTATAACTTAACCAGAGACCGCTTAGGTCAAGAAATGCCAGATTGTTTATTTCCCCTTATTTATTTATTTATTTTTATTTTTTTCTTTCTCTTCTCCTAATGCTAACGAGGACTTGGTATGTCCCTCTCTGTTTGGTGGTATATTACTTTCCTTGTATATTTTCCTTTAACACTTAACTTAATTTACATTTAATTGCACTTAATTTAGCCAAACTTTATTATTTTCTATCAAGTCAGTAAGTCAACCAGTATTAACGCCTGTACTTATAGCCTTAACTGACACGCAAGACCAAAACTCATAAATATAACTTCACCTACAAACTACAACTTAACTTTAGCTAATATGCCGATATCTCCACGATACTAATGTATCAACACTGTGTTTATACTTCCTGACTTTACCATTGTGACAAAGACTAACGTTCAGCACATCTCAAGCGTCGCTCACTCATTGCTTATATTTTCTTTTATAAAACTAAAAATGTGCTGTATAGTCATATGCCACGTTATGTTTCCACTGTATATTACTGCTTGTGACTGCTGTTGTGGCTGAACAAGCCTATTGTTAATCCATGCACATCAAAAATAAAGAATTTAAAAAAATAAATAAATAAACTAAGCAGTAACATTTGTTCCAGGAGCCATGCTTAACCTTCATTAGCTCGAAGGAATGCACTATGGCCTCTGTTGCACTATAACGCTACTCCTAAAAATCATCTTAACCACTTGAGCACACATGACGGAAATATTCCACCATGTTTCCCTTTTATTCCAGACGCTGTGTCCTTAAGGGGATAATATTCACACTGCACAATATAGATACACAAACGATAGCCCATCAGTTGCCATGGTATGCTCAACATGCTCTGGGCAAACATACTCAAGACCAGTTACTGAATAACATTCCCTATATAGCATTGGTTCCCACTTAAAGTTATACTCCAAGTACCATGATCACTCCATGGTGTTCATCATGCAAGGGATAGCCTGGCACCATTACCTGGTGATGGGGGCAAACATTTTTGTGTGGAGAATTATCCACTAGTAGCTGGGATGTCACCACCGAGATCCTCTTTCCCCCTTGTGTTTACAGCCCAAGTGAATATAGCGCTGTGATTATAGCGGATATTGCTGTTCCACCCAAATACTAGCTGAGACTTCATGAAGGGTGAAGAATTGTTTTTATTGCATGAATGGCACACTTTTATATCTGGATCCTCAACACCAGGTACCCAGTTGAACAATGACATTGCGACAAGCCAGGTGCCTCGGTGTCCGTACCTGACCAGATAATTTAATCAGCGGCCAGACACCTCAGCACCGAATAACGTTGTCACAACAAAAATAGGGTTCCCATGCCCACATCCCCCAACCAATGCTATCCCTGAAAATCTCTATACTATGCACCCATTATGTCCAAAAAACACTTGGATTGGAGATGTCTAGCCAGAGTTAGCTGTAAGTGACGTCCTCCAATTTGGTGCAGAGTTTCACAGCGCTGGGTGAGACATCACAGTCACCTAAATTGTTTTTGCGTTCTATCGGTACATGGAGCTCCCTCAGGTCCTTAGTATCATTTGATGCCTTGCCACCTCCTCTATCACCCCTCCAAATAGCACCCTCGACTAAGGCAACTCCACAAAAGAGGATTTGTAGGTGGCTCCCAGACGCACAGAGGCGCTGTGCCTCTATGTGTCTCTTGCGGTCTTTTTAGAGGAAAGTGGTGGTTTGGAGACATGTTGTAGCGCAGAGCTGGTATTACACAGCCTATCTCCACTTTAGATTCCAGGGAGGTTCAGGAACAAGCACTTATAAATCCATAGGGTAAAGTATCCAGCAGGCAAAATAACACTGCAGTATCCCAACAGCAATCTCAATAACTGGACAACACAGTATCAGGAGCAGAACTAAAGATTTATTCACACAGTGGCCTTATAAAGCCTGCTCCCATGCAAGGGAGGGATTTCCATTAATTTGTACAGTAGCCAATCCTGCTCTGGTAACCTCCCACACATCTCCTCCCCTCAGCCTGCATCATAATCCCCTTATCCAGCACACCAATTCCCCCCGTTTCTGGATGTACCCCTAAATTTAGGGGTACCACTTTAAATTATACATCCCCTGGTAGCCCTGATCTGGGTGTACAACATATCCAAAAATCACCCAGATCAGACCAGGGGTTCGGGAAATTCATGGACGGAATAAAATGACCGACCGCACGGGAGAGAACAGCCGAATGGGGTTCCATGCGATGGGGCCCTGCGGTCGGTCCTGGAGTAAGGGAATAAACTGCACGAAAGCCTATAGCTACAGAGACTAGGGAAGGTTCGCCTGAATCCCCTCCTTCGGTTGTTTCTATCTACTGAACGAGGGGCCGTTCGGTAGTTTGGAACCGAACGGACCGGGCTTGTGGAGATCTCAGCGGTGTTCGCCTAGTCAAGTGCCCGATTTGAGTTCCAGACACTCGACGGCAAAACACCGCTGTTCTGGAGTTTTAAAATGGCCACCGCCACGTGTTCGTTTCCCGAATGGCAGCTACTCAGCTTGTCAATTACCCGTTCGCAACAATGTTGTAACGGGTAATTGAAGGCACACTTCACACAGGGGAGGTCTGACTGTTCGGTAGTTTCATTCGAACAAACTAAGGGAATGAAACTACCTAACATTCAGACGAATACAATACATTTAACACATATAACTTTGCTATTTTACACAAATGCATTCAAACACATGTAATTCACAGGACAGCCCAGTGCCATCCGCTACACATGTACCAGTCCTGGGTGGTCTGTCACACCTTGGTCCTGATGGGTGGTGAAGCTTCTCTAGTGCTGGTTGAACCCACATTTGGTTGCTGAAGAGCTGCAGATCCCAGATAAAAATCTTTTTGCTCATTCTTTGGTTGCGAGTGTCTGCTGAGCACTCTCGGGCCAATGTATGAACCTCTGTGCAGGGGAATATGCAGAGAATTAACATCAGCCAGCCCAGACCTCTTATTCCAAACTGGCTAATAAAGTCTAGTGGCTGTGGAGTTACACTCCGTTATAAGGGAGCTATATTTTGGTATGTGCAGTGTTTCACACTGAAATCCTGCCTTTACAAGGTATTGAAATTGTCATGGTATTTGGAGTAACAGAAGAAATCTTTACTCCAGTCTAGGCAAGTTCATATGTTTTAAAGAAAAGGGCTAGAATACAGTTGCAAGTGAAGCAGTGAGTCAGTGATTCCCAAACCAGTCCTCATGACCCAGCATAAATCCTGGACTATTGCTGGACCATGATAACGAATTGGAACCACTGGACACTGGACAAGGACAGTGACTTGGCCAGTGAAGACAAAAACTGTGCCGAGAATTAAAATCCAATGGTACTCTAGGCAGTTTACTAATTTTGGGCTCTTTCTTTATTTTTCATATAAGGATTGTGAATTGGGCCATGCTTCTGGGGCCCTGTCTAACCCCTGGGCCCTAGGCCTAAGGTCGCTGTATGGTTAATTGGGGCAGAACCAACCTCACCACTATGCACTGGAGAAGCCTGGTTGCTCGCCTGCTCCCTTTAGACTATGGCCCTGCAGTTCAGACCTGTTATTTTCCCTGCTGAAAGGTTTATTTGTGCCTTTCTGCCAGGGTGTTCGGTAGATTCCATCTACCGAACAAACTACCGAACGATGGACCACCTGGGAACTGGAGTGTGCCGTTAATTGACCGCCCAGAAGCTGCGGTTAACCACAGCTTAATTGATGAACGCTGGGTGGCCGTTGTTCGGTTGCCATACACGTGGCAGCAACCATTTTACCTCCCGAACGGCCAGCGGTGTTCAGCGCCCAAACTATGGAACTGAAAACGGACACTTATTGGCGCGAACACCGCTGAGCCGCCAGCCTCCTTACCTTCCCATTCGGTAGCAGAACCGAATGACTGTTCATTTGGTAGTTTAACCGGATGAACAGCATCACCCCAGATAGCTAAGCCATGGAGCCTGTTCGTGTGACGAAAGACTATGTGAAAGACTTTGGCTCCATGGCGATTGAACTATATGTATGTGATCTGAGCGCCATTCGGTAGTAATATGCGCTCAGATCTAAGCTATCTGGGGATATATAGAATGTCTATGTTTTATGTAATAAATGTAACTGTATGTAATTTTATGTCTTTTACTGAAAATGTGTGTAATGGAGTTTTGCCTCTGTCCTTGGAGATAATTGCATTACTTCCCAATTATCTCCAGGACAGAGAGGAGGGATTGTAATGCATTGTGGGATTGTTGAAATGTGTAAGTCTGTGATTGGTTCTTGTACCCTTTGTGTCCCAGTCTCCCATCTGGTCCCCTAGGGGAGTGTCCACCAGGTGGGAGACCTGCATAAAAGCTGGGCAGTTAGCCCCAGTAAACCAGATTCTGCTTGACCCTCAAAACGAAGTGTCGTCTCGTCTTTGGGGGGGATTTACTGTATGCTGTTAGAGACTGATTGCCAGGAGTGTAAGCCGCTTGGGGGCTTTTCCTGTTCGTCTGCTAACAGCTATTCGTGTGTCTCCAGTTCGGGAGGTTGGAATGCTACTTGGTATGCAGTTCGGGAGTTTCGAGTATTCCCTTGGTTGCAGTTCGGGAGTTGGTGAATTCGTGGGTTTGCAGTTCGGGAGATTGGTGCTTGCAGTAGCTGTCTGTGCAGCTGAGAAAGGGGAATATCGCCTAAACAGTTTTTAACCGCTTGTGTAAAACGGTCTATTACATTAATACTGTACCTTAGACCAGAACTGTCTAAGATGGAAACAGGGTAGTATACAAAGCTTTGATAGACTAATAACCAACTGAGCAGAGAATGCTGGCAGCACAGACGGCTGGAACCGGTTACTGGTATATGCCACCTTAATCACTGAGCATAATTCACATCGCTGTGCCTCTGCAGGTTGAGTCTTGACGTACTGGCAGCCTCTGGGCTTTGGAAAGCTCATTGTATAAAATGGCTCTTTGCCATTGACAAGCTGCCATAGGCGTATTGACCTATGAAGTATGATGCTGCTTTCATAGGGATCTATGCATGCCTAAGAGACACAAACTCTGATTCCCATGACTA